TATGTTGAGACTTTCAGCCCTGTAGCTAAGATCACGATGATTCGTGTACTACTAGTTCTGGCGTTGCATCATCACTAGCCAATACATCAACTAGATGTATCGAATGCATTTCTACATGGGCGGCTTCTAGAAACTGTCTACATGAAGCAACCAATCGGGTTTGTTGATACACATTACCCAACACATTTTTGCAAGCTAAACAAAGCCTTGTATGGATTAAAACAGGCTCCACGTCAGTGGTTTGAAATGCTCACAGGCTTCTACATCAGTTAGAATTTGTTTCAAGCCATTCCGATCCTTCGCTACTAATGCATCAGAAAGAAGACTCAAAAGTCTATGTTTTAATATACGTAGATGATATCATAGTGACCGGTAGTAACTCATCTACTATCACTCATCTACTTGAGCAGCTCACTCATAGATTCAAAATGAGAACGTTGGGGACCATAAATCAGTTTTTAGGCATCACGGTGCTTCCTACATCAACAGGCCTACTACTCCAGCAAACAAGATATGCCGAAGAAATTCTGGCACGGGCTGGAATGACAAATAGTAAGCCTGTGTCCACACCAAGCATTCCTAAAGCTGTAGCTGAAAACTCATCTGAGCAATTCGGTAATCCAAAACTATACCGCCAAATTGTTGGAGCATTACAGTATTTGACAGTAACACGCCCAGACTTATCATATGTTGTGAATCGGGCGTGTCAACAAATGCACCAACCGATGGTCAGTGATTTTGAAGCACTTAAACGAATACTTCGTTATCTTCAGGGAACTATACAGCATGGACTACCGATCAATGGAGATTCCTTAGTGCTCAAATCCTATGTTGATTCGGATTGGGCCGGGGATCACACAGACCGCAAATCAACTACAGGATTTTGTAATTTTTTGGGCACATCACTTGTGTCATGGAGTGTCAAAAAGCAGACAACTATAGCTCGTTCATCAACAGAAGCTGAATACCAGGCCATTGCCTCAGTTACCATGGAAATTATATGGTTAAGGCAACTTCTAAACGAGCTAGGCTGTTCTCAGATAGAACCAACCAAGCTCTACTGTGATAACACCTCGGCAATTGCCTTGGCTAACAATCCAGTATATCATGCTCGCACTAAACATATTGAAATTGATTGCCATTTTATTAGAGATTGCATAAAAAATGGTAGCATACAAGTTCATTACATCTCAACTCAAGATCAACTAGCAGATTTGTTTACCAAAGCTCTTCCCTCTACTCGATTCAAGTTTCTTGTCAATCAACTGATTACTCGCATCGACTCATCAGATTGCAGGGGGTATTAGACAATAAGAATCTAGAAGCATCCAAAATCAAGAAAGTACAATTACACACCAAGGACAAATAGTTAATGTACACGTGTAATATGATTAGAGGTGT